CACGGTAGCTTTTTAAAAATTTTATGGGGGTCCTTGGTGCTCTTTGGGCTTTGTGGTTTTCTTAAGGATGTTTTATTACCAAACTTTGTTACAAAGTGGGTTTGCCCCACTCTCTTTTAGAACTGATGGTGTTACCTAGATGGGTAATGAAAACGTCTGCAGGAAAATAACCATGCCCAAAGAGCACCAAGGACCCCCATAAAATTTTTAAAAAGCTACCGTGTGGAACTCAAAAAAATTATTGGGGCCCAAAATGAGAATTTTCCCTCATTTCCTCAAGATAGTATATAACATTTGTGGGGGGAGGAAGGGAGGAATTCTACAATTTCTTATCAATAAAAAAGAAGCAATCCTTCAATGAGAAACTCAAGTTTGATCCAAGTTGGCAGCAATTTTTGCATGTACCGTATTTTTCGGAGTATAAGACGCACCTTTTTCCTCCAGAAAAGGGTGAAAATCTGGGTGTGCCTTTTACACTGAATACAGCCTTTTTGGCCTACTTAAGCCCCCTTTGCAAAAATTGATGTGCATAGTCTTTAGGAAACTTGTAGAGTGCTCCTGGGGGCTGGGGAGGGCAAAAATGAGCAAACAACAGGATTTTTTTTGCTCACTTTTGCCTTCTCCCAGACCCCAGGAGCACTCTACGAGCCTCCCGAAGCTCTGCATGCCTCCTTTTTGCAAAAAAAACAAGGCGTGCAGAGGGTTTGGGAGGCCTGCAGAGTGCAAAACTTTTTTTTAAAAAAAAATTACCTCTTCAAAATCATAGTGTGTCTAATACTCTGATGCATCTTATAGGCCGAAAAATACGGTATGTGAATCTCTATTTGGTGCCACTCAGAATGTCCAAGTGCCTTCTCACCATCAAAGGTGGACTAGTTATGCATGGATGCTCAGGTCCAAGCAAAGGTTTCTCATCGGTCAGGAGGTTTTGGATTGGTGGCCTTCACATCTCTTTGGGCCCAATCCTGGTGTGTTCATTGTTTAATGCAAAGTAGTGAAGCTTCTGACGAATCAGCGAGGTCAACCATGGAGCCCTTTCACTTGACAGCATTCAGTAGGAAGGTCCTTTGACAGAACCTACTTCAGTTAGTTGAGCTGAGGCAGAGGCACCAAGGCAGACAACTGCCTCGCAAAACCCAGGAAGGCCAGAAGGCCCAGGTAAACCAGGACGGCCTGCTTCTCCTGGGGCACCTGGAACACCTCGCTCTCCGTGTTTGCCATTGAGAGCTTGACCAGGTTGACCAGGGGGACCTGGAAAAATGAAACAAGGTACAGTTTATAATTGCGTGCCACATCCCCTTCCACAACCATTTTTGTTGTTGTTAGTTGAGAAGTCGTGTCCGACTCATCGCGACCCCATGGACCACGTTCCTCCAGTCCTTCCTGTCCTCTACCATCCTCTGCAGTCCATTTAAGTGCATGCCTATGGCTTTGGTGACCCCATCCAGACACCTCATTCTCTGCTGTCTCCTTCTTCTTTTGCCCTCAATCTCTCCCAGCATGAGGCTCTTCCCCAGGGAGTCCTTCCTTCTCATTAGGCGTCCATAGTCTTTGAGTTTCCTCTTCAGGATCTGGCCTTCTAAAGAGCAGTCAGGGTTGATCTCCTCTAGGAATGACCGGTTTGATCACCTTGCAGTCCAAGGGTCCACAACCACTATTGCTTCTCAAAGTTCTAAAGACCCGATCACCAAACTTGAGTGGAGTCTCAGAATTCATGTTCTATTAGCCAGGTACTTTTCAGGTGCCATCACCTTTCAGGAAAGAAGGCCTGAACAATAGGACTTGGACATGCAACAAACAAAATCTAACATCCAACGTAAACTGGAGGCCAGCTAGTTCCTAATGGCCAATGCTTCAGATTTGGTAAAGAAGGTTCATTGCAAAACCCATCTCCCTGCCTGTCTTTTTCATACCTGGATTGTATTTGCAACTGTGGCCACCATAATAGGTCAATCCTTCATCTTTTAATTCTTGTTTTGTTTTTAGTTTTCCTCTTTCAGTTAATAAGTCATTATATCTTATAATAAATAAATAAATAAATAAATAAATAAATAAATAAATATTTATTTATTTATTTATGACATTGGGATATACCATATTTTTCAGAGTATAAGATGCACCGGCATATAAGACGCACCATGATTTTGAAGAGGTAAAAAAAAGTTTTAAAAGTTTTTGCACTCTTCAACCCTCCCAAACCCTTGTGTTTTGGAAGAAAAAAAAGGAGGGGGGAACATTCAGAGGCTTTTTGAGTGCTCCTGGGGACAGGGACGGGGGCAAAAAGAAGCAATAATTGGCCCCTTTTTCACAAAAAAGGGGGCGTTTTTTGCAGGAAAAAATGGTATGCAGAGCTTTGGGGGGTTTGTAGAGTGCTCTTGGGGGCTGGGGAGAGGCAAAAGTGAGCAAAACCAGCCTGCTTTTTCCTTGTTTTTGCCTTTCCCAGCCCCCAGGAGCACTTTGCAGGTCTCCCAAACCCTCTGCACGTCCATTTTTGCAAAGGGGGAGGGGGTTTGGTTAGCCAAAAATGTTGTATTCAGTGAATAAGTTGCACCCAGATTTTCACCCTCTTTTTTGGGGGGGGAAGGTGCATCTTATACTCTGAAAAATCCGGTATCCATGCCTTCATTATAAATAAGCATACTGGCACTTTCAAATAGTGTTGTTGTTTAATTTTAGTCCATGCTAGCAATAGTGAATTTCTAATGTGATACCTCTGGAAGTAGCTGTGTATCTTGCCCTTCTCATACCTTAAGAAGGCATGCCATCCCAGTTGCAGATCATGGCCTTCCAATGTTAATAGCCTTATATTTCTCAGATTGACCCACTCTTTCACCCGCGAAAGAGCTCCCACAGTTTCTAAAAGAACTAGACCTGAGTTAGACCTTGATATCAATTGTTCAGAAAGCAGTGGTGGGGCAGAAGACATAGTGGTGAAGCTAGGCGTCACCAAAGAATCTCTCTAGCCCAAGGTCTCTTCTGCCATTGCTTCTTCTTACCACTGTTTTACTTCTCCAGATATAGATCTTTCGCTTCTTACTTGTAAGTGCAAAATCTATCATATCCATAACTAAATGAAGATGTATAACATTCCCCCAAAGTCATCTCCCCCAGACCTTTTGTGACAGCCACTCCTTCATCCCTCCCACCATGAAAAATGATTGAACAATTCCCAGTAAAGAGAAAACGAAATCTTTCTCAAGGGAAACTGCCATACTGTAAACAGAGAGTTTACACTGCACTGGTTTTATGACCTCAAATCCAAACATATCTCTAAAACTGCAAAAGATTCACCTGTGGTTTATTTTGTGCAGTGTCTGGAGATGGAACCTTCCACAACGATTTATTTTATTTATTAATTTTTATGCCACCGGTCTCCCCTTAAAGGTGACCCTGAGTGGCCCTGAATGTCCTCCAAAGATATCCTGTGTGGTGATTAGCTAAAATGACTCTGGAATTCCAGAAGCTATTCCACACTTGGAGGTGGAACCCAAACGTATAGGTCTGTTTCTCTCAAGGTAACTCAAAAGATCTTCTCACCTGGTAGGCCTGGAGGCCCTGGCATTCCTTGATGTCCATGGCCAGGTTCTCCTTGGTCTCCTTTCTCACCCCTCTTTCCTGTAGGATAAGGGAATCACAAACGTTAACCCTTATTAGATTCACATTTTGTAGGCCTACTCTTTGACTGGAGCATCTTTCCAGTTCTTTCCCGTTAAAGACAGCCACAGAGTGTCAGGCCTGCAGAGATCTTTTCTTTTGGATCTTTGGCCTGCCACACTTTCTATTATTCTACTATGCATTTTCTATTGTGGGAAAATGGGAGGGGGGAATTGTAAGGAGTTAGATGATATGTAGCCATAACAAAATTATTTCTAGAAAGCCAAGGTCATCCTCCTGCACCTGACCGGAACTGGATGGGTGGAACTGCCAGCACGGCAGTGGGAAATTGGACCATGTGATGGACTTGTGAGTGTGGGGCAAGATCTTGAACTTTCAACTAGGTGGGGGAAAACCGGGAATCTTTCAGTTTCAGGTTTTTCTAAATGTGCCAATATGCCTCTCTTAATAAATCGGAACTTTGAGCAATATTTTGGCTTGGCCTCTGATTTACTTTTGGATGCTATTTGGAACACTGACCCACGGATTTCAAAAACAAAGGCAAAAAGGTAAAGTTTCCCCTCGCACATATGTACTAGTTGTTCCCGACTCTAGGGAGCGGTGCTCATCTCCGTTTCAAAGCCAAAGAGCCAGCGCTGTCCGAAGATGTCTTCGTGGTCATATGGTTGGCATGGTTAAATGCCAAAGGCACACAGAATGATGTTACCTTCCCACCAAAGGTGGTCCCCATTTTTCTTTTTACGTGCTTTCAAACTGCTAGGTTGGCAGAAGCTGGGACAAGTAATGGGAGCTCACTCCTTTACAGGGTATTAGGGATTCAAACCGCTGAACTGCTGAACTTTCTGACAAACTCAGCATCTTAGCCACTGAAAAACAGGGATCACCTTTGGTGGGAAAGTAACAGTGTTCCATGTGCCTTCGGCTTTTAGTCATGCTGGCCACATGACCACAGAGACGTGGCTCTTCGGCTTTGTAACGGAGATGAACACCGCCCCCTAGAGTCGGGATCGACTTGCACATATGTGCATGGGGAACCTTTACCTTTAATTTCGTAATTTCTTTCTAATGGCTTCTTTGGGAACTTCAAGGATAAAGCTCTTCACGTTGATCAGGAATAAATTTGCAGGTGTCCATTCATGCCTTCTAAACCCTCATGAGATAACAAAAGCTGACATGAAGTTTCCATGCAAAGACCTCTTCCTACCTTTGGGTCCAGTGTTGCCTATCTGTCCAACCGCTCCTAGGATTCCTGGAGGACCACGGGAACCAGGATGTCCATGGGGGCCTTGGGAGCCAGGTGACCCAGGAGGCCCCGGAGGGCCAGGTGGCCCCATCATGCCACTTCCACCCACAGTTTCTCTTTTCGCACTCACTGCTAACTCGGCCAGTTGCTCTGGAAGGCAAAGATGAAAAGAAAAGCAGTGCTTTGTCTCCCAGGTGTCCTCCGCCATCCTTCCCAAATTCAGGAGGGTCAAGACAGACAGTGAGAGAGGACATGTTTCTCCACAAATGTACTCTGCTCCTCAACAGCTGTGTTTACTCAACTGCGTTAATTACCATCCTAGCAGCTGTATTTGCACAACATGATGAGCTGGATTAGTTTTCATTTGGTTCAATGCTTTCTAGATTAATGTTTTATACGAACCCGGCTAGTTTGTTAAGCTTATGATTCAAGTTACTGAACTATAGATATTCAGAAAAATGGATTAAATCATAACCAAGTAAAATGTATTCTGTAACTGCTGCTTGATTCCTGGGGACTTTGAAGATATGAACATGGAACACTTGTAGATATCTTTTTTCAACCTCCCAATCTAGCCAATACAGCCTTGGTATTCCCTGGTGTTCTTCCTTCAGGAATTGATCAGAAATTGATCATCTTCTTAACTTCTGCGCCCAGGCAATATTGACTAGGGATTGCCTCTGCTTAGATCAGAGATGGGGAATGATGGCCCTTTTATGACTTGTGGACTTCAACTCCCAGAATTCCTGAGCCAGTCATGCTGGCTCAGGAATTCTGGGAGTTGAAGTCCACAAGTCATAAAAGGGCCACTGTTCCCCATCTCTGCCTTAGATCCTTATATATTAAAATGGCTGGGTCAGGAATTCTGGGAGTTGAAGTCCACCAGGGGCCATTGTTCCTCATCCCTGCCTTAGATGGTTTACTGAACATGGGTTAATGAACTGCCATTAAATGGAACTTGCATGTCTGACCACCAAAGGCCATCTGCCCCTTGTTTCCATCTCCAATCACCGTACTTCACACTACAAGTAGTCCTCGACTTACAATTAGTTTACTCACCATTCAAAGTGACGATGCTGAAAAAAGTGACTTATCACCGTTTTTCACATTTACAACCATTGTAGCATCCCACAGTCATGTGATCAAAATTTAGATGCTTGGCAACTGGTTCATACTTATGACCACTGATGTGTCCCAGATCAACTTTTGCGACCCTCAAAGTCAATGGGGAAGCCGGATTCACTTAATGATCAGGTGACTAACTTAACAACTGCAGCAATTCACTTAACAACTGTGGCCGGAAAAGTCATAAAATGGGGCAAAACCCATTGAGCAAATGTCTCACTTAGCCACATCCATTTTGGGCTCAATTGTAGTCATAAGTTAAGGACTCCCTGTAGTAAAAACTGGCCAGCAGAATTTCAATGTTCACGCTGACGTTAGGGAGAGTTGGGGAAGGATTTTAAGCACGAGGATGGGTGTTCACACAGCCCATTTCAATGAAACATACTAAAAAAGACACACATTTCGAGGGATGTCACACGACGTCAATCAGGAAACCCAGCTGCAGCCCCCAAATGTGTCTCCAGACGAATGCCAGGCCCACGGGGATAAATCACTGCCAAGTTTGTGGTATTTGATTCATGAGCTTTAATTTCCACTTGTTCCCTGGGCCATGGCACTGGCTGGCATGTGGCTTGGCCGGAGGTGCCCCTTTTGATACACTGACCTTGTAGCATCTTGATCACGACATCAACAATGTGCTGATCTCCAGTGTCCCTGCCCTGGGGAATGGAAGAGAAGCTGTGGGTTGTGATCTTCTCCTGCATCACAAGGCCAGCAACCACAAGAGTCTAAAATCAATTTTGTCAGGACCGGAGATTCCCCCAGGGAGGCTTCCAGTTATTATACTCAAGCAGTGTCTGTAAACAACTGGTCTGCTTCACTTCTCCTGCAATCTTCACTTGCCTACCAGCATCTGGGCTTCCTTTCCCCACCCCCAAGTGCACGCACGGACATACGGACACACAGACACACACACACAGAGACACACACACATGCAGACAGACAGACACACACACACAGAGAACACACAGACAGACACAGAGACACACTCACACAGACAGACACACATGCAGAGAGACACTCATACAGAGAAATCTTCAGCCACAGATGTTTTTTAGTGGAAATGTATAGGCTGGATAGATAATGCCTGGAGAAATGTGTACATTTGTATTAATACACATTTAATGTGTATTAAAACAAGAAGGAAGACATTCCTTTATTTTTTTCCTCCTTTCTGTAGGGAAGATCTTCCCCTGTACGGAAGAAGGCCGTGGCTGGACAATCTATTCTTCCCTTTCCTATCGGTTGGCTGGAAAGAAAATGGTGTTGTGGCTTGGCGGCCAGCCGAGCCAGCAGCAGAGTCGGACAGTGAAGAGGTTGGGGAGGAACAAGGGGTAGTCCTGGGGGCTGAAGCTCAGACGAGGGCTCTGCATCAGACGTAGAGAGGGAGCTACACAGCAGTGAGGCAGAAGAACAGCTGGAGCCTATTCGCAGTGTGTGAATGCTCAGAGCTGTCAGAAGACAAGAACAACTAAGAAAGCAGGGTCAACTCAAGAGTAAAACCACACCTTAGAGGTGATTGGCCCCTCATCTGGCAGCACTCCAAATGAGATAAGGTGCGTGTGGATAAACATTCCTCAGAAAGACTGTTTGCTAAAGCCTTGCCAACTGTGAATGAAAGGAATTCACAGTTGTGTAAATAAAAGAGGTTTTTGTCGGGACCAAGACTTTGCTTCTTGCTTTCTAAGGAAGCCTGGGTCAGAACAAATGGACTGGTATTGAATGCTCCTGCCAATATCAAGTCCAGCAGAGTGAAGAAGAGTGGTGAAGGTGCCAGGCTGGAGATTGTGAATTCTAGTCCTGCTTTAAGCACTGAAGCCAAGTAGGTGATCTTGGACCAGTCACTCTCTCTCAGCCCTGGAAAGGAAAGAATAGGAAAATTTCTAAACTCTTGCCAAGAAATAGCAGGGGCCACATTCCAGGAGTCAACACCGTCTCAAAAGTTACATGTATATGTATATTTATATGTACATGCATATGCATCCCAGAGGTGGTATTCAGCAGGTTCTGACCAGTTCTGAAGAACTGGTAGCAAAAATTTGGAGTAGTTCGGAGAACCAATAAATACCACCTCTGGCTGGCCCATCTATTCTCTGCCTCCCGAGTCCCAGCAGATCGGGAGGAAATGGGGATTTTGCAGTAACCTTCCCCTGGAGTGGAGAGGGAATGGGCATTTTACAATATCCTTCCCTATGACACCCACCAAGCCACACCCATCAAGCCATGCCACACCCACCGAACTGGTAGTAAAAAAAATTGAATCCCACCACTGATGCCTCTGTATCTGTCTATATTGTATGTATAGAGACAGAGATGATTGAGACAGAGATAGGGAGGGAGAGAGAAAGAGAAAGGGGGAAGAGAGAGAGAGACAGAGAGAGAGAGGAAGAGAGGGAGAGATATTGCTATAACTTAATTAAAACATTCCAAAACAATCAGGAGTAGGAAGTTATGATTCTTAGAATTCCACTTGCAACCATGTAAGCTGAAGGTCCTTGACTTCTGCTTCCATGGTTTCAAGAGGAGTTCTGAGAGCCATATTTTCCTACTCCTGAAGGTCCTTCACTTACATCGCTGTAGTGCTGGTGCTTCACCAGAAGGTCTTCCATGAAAGTGAAATTGCATTTAAATGTGACCGTCTAAGAGGAGAGTCTCTGCATGTAGCAGATGATCTCAGTGAGAAGAGGCCCTTCAGAAGAGACCTGACAGACAGTCTGTTTTCCACAATAACGAAAATGGCTCTCAAAAGTCAAGGATCCAAGTTCTCCAAAAGCAAACTCATTTTAGGGGACTCGTTCCAAGCCTCTTCTAAGACTGAACCTCTGAAGGGGGAATGGCTGAGTGACCCAATGAGAGAGACTCCATGCAATAATCAGATAATACATAGAACAGCGATGTATAGAATTGGATAAGAAGATGTGTGCAGAGATGAATAGGTTGACTGTGGAACTGAAGAATAAAGAAGAATTGGAGTATTATAAAGTGTGGAAGAGATGGTATAAATCAGGGGTGTCCAAACCTGGGAACTTTAAGACTTGTGGACTTCAACTCCCAGAATTCCCCAGCTGGGGAATTCTGGGAGTTGAA